TCAGGATGCACAAAACAACATCAAAACTAAGAATCACACCCCAAACCAATTGAATCAAAAATGTGAACTTCACGCTCTTCAATTTACTCCCAATGCGCCGAAACGTACTTAAACTGCTCGGAATGATGCCAAATTTTGCGTGCAAGCCTTAAATGACATTATGGAACTATCCCTGGTCTCGGAATCCCAATTGGACTTTGATAACACCAAAACCTACTCCAAACTAAATTTAAAGAATTTTAAAACCTTCAAAGAGCCAACTTTCACTATTAGACACTGAAATGCTCCAGGGTCATCCAAAACCCGATCCGAACATACGCCCAAGTCCGAAATTATCATACAAACCTATTGGAATCGTCAAATCCCGATTCCGAGGTATTTTACTCAAAACATTGACCGAAGTCAAAATTAGCCTTTTAAAGCCATACCATGGAACCAAGTGTTCTGATTTCAACCCGAATTCTTCCAAATCCCAAACTAACCATCACTGCAAGTCATAAAAAAGTAAAAGCACATACGGGGAGTCTTATTTAGGGGAACGGGGTTCTAGAAAGCAAGACAATCGGTTGGGTCATTACATTCTCCACCTTTTAAACAAATGTTCGTCCTCGAATGGGTCTAGAATCATACCTGGAGTGCTAAATAAGTGTGGATATCTGCTTCGCATGTCCTCCTCAAACTCCCAAGTCGTCTTCTCGACTGGTTGGACCATCCCTCCACTGAACCTTTACCGTGGAAATCCTCTTGGACCTCAACTGGCGAACCTGCCTATCAATAATGGCAACTGACTCCTCCTCATATCCCAGGCTCTCATCTAACTGAATTGTGCTGAAGTCTAACACATGTGACCTATCGGCATGATACCTCCGGAGCATATACACGTGGAAAATGGGATGAACTCCTGACAGGCTAGGAGGCAAAGCAAGCTCATAAGCAACCTCCCTAACTTGTCTTAACACCTCGAATGGACCTATAAACCTTGGGCTCAACTTGCCCTTCTTCCCGAAACTCATGATCCCCTTCATCGGCGAGACATTCAAGAGAACCTTCTCGCCTATTATGAATGATAAATTACGCGCCTTCTGATCGGACTAACTCTTCTTTCTGGACTGCGCCATGTGAAGTTGCTCCTGAATCAACTTTACCTTTCTCAAAGCATCCTTTACCAAATCAGTACCATATAACTAAGCCTCGCCGGGCTCAAACTATTCGATGGGATAACGACATCGTCGACCATATAAAGCCTCAAATGGAGCCATCTCGATGCTGGACTGATAACTGTTGTTGTAAGCAAACTCAGCCAAAGGCAAGAATCGATCCCACTGCCCTCCAAAGTCAATCACACATGCCCTGAGCATGTCCTTTAAGATCTGAATTGTCCGCTCTGACTGCCCGTCAGTCTGTGGATGAAATGTTGTGCTGAGCTCTACCCGGCTCCCCAACTCACTTTGTACCGCTCTCCAGAAATGTGAAGTAAACTGAGGGCCTCTATCTGATATGATGGAAACAGGCACACTGTGCAACTGAACTATCTCCTGAATATAAATATGGGCCAACCTCAGCGAAGTATACGTGGTCACCAATGAAATGAAGTGTGCCGACTTGGTCAACATGTCGACAATGACCCAAACTGCATCAAACTTCAGCAAGGTCCGCGACAACCCAACTCTGAAGTCCATAGTAATGCGCTCCCATTTCCACTCAGGTATAGTCATCTGCTGGAGTAGGCCACCTGACCTCTGGTGCTCATACTTAACCTGCTGGCAATTTAGACACCTCACAACATACTCAACTATGTCTTTCTTCATCTGTCGCTACCAATAATGCTGCCTCAGGTCGCGATACATCTTTGTAGCAGATGGATGAATACAATACCATGAACTATGTGCCTCATCTAGAACCCTCTCCCTCAAGCCATCGACATTAGGAACACATAGACAACCCTAGAGTCGCAGAACACCATCCTCACTGATGGTAACCTCCTTGGCACCACCCTATAGCACCGTCTCTCTAAGAACCAACAAGTGCGGGTCATCAAACTGTCGAGCCTTGATCTGTTCCAATAGTGAAAACTGGGCAACGACGCATGCAAGAACTCGACTAGGATCCGAAATATCCAACCTCACAAGTCTGTTAGCCAAGGACTGAACGTCCAATGCTAATGGCCTCTCCTCTACTGAAATGAACGCCAAGCTACCCATACTCTCCGCCTTTCTGCTCAAGGCATCCACAACCACATTCGCCTTGCCCGGATGATAAAGAATAGTAATGTCATAATCCTATAGTAACTTGAGCCATCTGCACTGCCTCAAATTAAGATCTCTTTGCTTGAATAAATGCTGCAACCTGCGATGATCAGTGTAAACCTCACAGGACACCCATAAAGATAATGACTCCAAATCTTAAGAGCATGAACAATTGCAGACAAATCCAAATCGTGTACAGGGTAATTCTTCTCATGGGGCTTCAGCCGACGTGAAGCATATCCAATAACTCTCCCCTCTTGCATCAATACACAACCAAAGCCAACGCGTGAAGCGTCGCAATACACGGTATACATCCCCAAACCGGAAGGCAACACTAGAACTGGTGTTGTAGTCGGAGCTGTCTTGAGCTTCTGGAAGCTCGCCTCATAATTGTTGAACCAACGGAACAGAGCACCCTTCTGGGTCAGTCTAGTCAAAGGTGCTGCAATAGATGAGAAGCCATCCATAAATCGACGATAATAACCTGCTAACCCCAAGAAGCTCCTAATCTCAGTTGCCATAGTGGGATGAGGCCAACTTTGAACTTCCTCAATCTTCTTAGGATCCACCTTAATACCCTCACCCAATACAACATGCCCTAAGAATGCTACAAAATCTAGACAAAACTCACACTTGGAGAACTTCACATATAGTTTTTGTTCCCGCAAGGTCTGAAGCACCACCCTCAAATGATGCTCGTGCTCCTCCATACTGCGCAAGTATATCAAAATGTCATCAATGAAGACAATGACGAACGAATCAATATATGGCTTGAACACCCTGTTCGTCAAATCCATAAACACTGTTGGGCCATTAGTCAGACCGAAGGACATCACTATAAACTAATAATAGCCATATCTAGTCCGGAATGCAGTCTTCGGAACATCCGAATCCCGAATCTTCAACTGATGGTACCCCGATCTCAAGTTGATCTTAGAGAACACCCTGGCACCCTGCAACTGGTCAAAAAAATCATTAATCCACGGCAACAGGTACTTGTTCTTAATGGTAACTTTGTTTAACTAGCGGTAATCAATTTACATCTGCATAGTCTCATCTTTCTTCTTCACAAATAACATTGGTGCACCCCAAGGTGATACACTCGGCCTGACGAACCCCTTTGCTAGCAACTTCTCAAGCTATTCCTTCAACTCCTTCAACTATTTCGGAGCCATATGGTATGGTGGGATAGATATAGGCTGGGTTACTGGAGCCAAATCAATGCAGAAATCGATATCACGATCTGGTGGCATGCATGGAAGATCAGAAGGAAACACATCGGAGAACTCCCAAACTACGGGTACTAAATCAATCGCCAGAGTCTCCGCGGTAGTATCCCTAACATAAGCTAGATAAGCCAAATAACCCTTGACGACCATGTGTCGAGCCTTCATAAAAGAGATGATCCAACTAGGTGTGCTAACAGATGAACCCTTCCACTCTAATCTAGGCAACTCTGGTATCACCAAGGTAACAGTCTTGGCATGGCAATAAAGGATGGCGTGATATGGAGATAACTAGTCCATGCTCAAGATAACCTCAAAGTCGATCATTTCGAGCAATAGAAGATCCGCTCTAGTCTCATAACCATAGAATGTAACAATGCAGGATCGATAGACCCGATCCACAATAACAAAATTGCCAAACGGAGTGGACACATAAACAGGAGTACCCAAGGACTCACGAGGAACATCTAGGAAATGATCAAACAAAGAAGACACATATGAATATGTAGACCCTGGATTAAATAATATCGAAGCATCCCTACCACAAGCAAAGATAATACCTGTGATCACGACATCTGAGGCCACTGCATCTGGTCTGGCCGGGAAAGTAGTGAATCTAGCTGGAGCGCCACCTGCCTGGCCTCTACCTCTAGGATGACCCCTACCCACCTGCCCTCTGACTCTGGGCGTCCGGACGACTGGTGCGGCTACTGGTGCCGAAATCATGAGCTACTGACCTTGCGGCACTACCTTGCCCCAAAGTTTGGGACAAAACCTCTTCATGTGGCCAGGATATCCTTACTCGTAACAACCCCTTGGAGTGGTGGACTGCTGCCCTGAGGTCTGGCCCTAATCGCCTGAATACCCACTAGAAGAACCCTGAATAGCTGGTGGGCAGTAGGAACTCTCTGGCATGGCGCTAAAGTAGGGTCGAACTGGAGCACCCCAAGGAGGCGGCAATGCTGTATAAGTAGTCCTGCTCGACTGACCTCTCCCAAACTGACCTCTGCCCCCAGATGGAGCACTACTGAATCCTCTCTAATGACGTAACCAATTTTCCCACGGCATCTGCTCTCGGTCCTGCTGACGATAACCCCCAATCCTCCGAGCTATCTCTACAACTAGCTGGTAAGAGGTCCCAATCTCAACCTCTCGGGCCATAGTGGCCCGAATACCGAAGTGCAACCCCGCAACGAACCTCCGTACTCTCTTTGTCTCAGTATGAAGTATCATAAGTGCATGGCGAGAAAATTCAATGAACCTCGCCTCATAATCGGTCACTGACATCTAGTCCTGCCGGAGTTGCTCAAACTAAAACCGCAGCTCTTCCCTCTGGGAGTGTGGAATATACCTATCCAAGAAAAGGCATGTAAATTGATCCCTAGTCATGGGAGGAGAACCTGTCCGTCTGCCAAGAAGATATGACTGCCACTATCTATGGGCCCTGCCCTCCAGGTGGAAAGTAGTGAAATCCACCCAGTGTGACTCTAATATACTCATGTTGTGCAGTTTGTCCCTATACTGATCAATGAAGTCCTGGGGATCCTCATTTCGCTCACACCCAAAGACAGGAGGGTGTAGCCTAGTCCATCTATCCAATAGCTTTTGTGGTTCGCTGGCTGCAGCTGGTCTGGGCTCAGGTATGGCTGCTGCCACTGGCTGGGCTCCGCCCATGGGTAGTGTGCCCAGGGTCTGATATATGACAACTACATGCCCAGGAGCCTGAGCAGTAGGGGTATGTGCTCCCCCTCCCACCTGAGATGTAGCTGGGTCTGCTGGAAATAAATCAGCCTGGGTCATAGTATCCATGAACCTTAGCATACGGCCCATAGCCTCCTGAAATCCCGGTGCGGACATGAAATCCTCCGGGTCTGGCTCTGCTTTAGGCATCTCTCCCTGCTCCTCAATAATAGGATCCTATGCTAGATCCACTGGTGGTATAGCTGGGCCCACTCTGGGACGTCCTCGTCCCCTATCTCAGGCCGGTGCCCTCCCCCGAGCTCTGCCTCGACCTCTAGCAACAGGGGGAGCAGCTCTTCTCGGGTTTGGAACATCCGCCGTGCGCGTTATCACCATCTGTGAGGGAATAAGAGAAAGAGACTTAGTATACCATCAACTGCACGATAGGAGATGAAGAAAGAGTAGTTTCCTAACATCTTATAGCCTCTCGAAGATAAGTACAGATGTCTCCGCACCAATCCGCAAGACTCTATTAGGCTTGTTCATAACTTGTGAGGCCTACGTGAACTTAGTACTCTGATACCATGATGTCACGACCCAATTTCTCCTATAGGCCGTGATGGCGCCTAACGTTAACACTAGGCAAGCCAACCATGAACTAACTCTGTGATCCTCTCTTTTAAAGATCTAAAATAGTTGATTTTTAGCTTATGCATAAATAAGAAGTAAGAGTTTAATAAAATTGAGGGATCAATATGTTTAAAGCAAGTAGATAAGTAAAATAACCCAAAACCATCAAGTGTCTACTAGCATAAATCTCCAAGACCTGGTGTCACAAGTGTATGAGCTACTAGTAGAATATAAAAAAGAGTACTACCCTACTGTCTGAGATGAAGTAGACAGAATCTCAGCTCTATTCAAGGCAATTAGTAAGCATAATCAAATAACAGTGTCAACAAAATATGGTGTAAACCTAAAACTACCAGACATAAGCATAATTAGTAGCTATGTACGGACTCTTGTCACCTTGTGTGTACGTTGCCCCCACAAATAGAAGCACATATTAGTTAAATTCACCTATGGGGTTAATTCCCTCTTACAAGATTAGAAAAGAGACTTACCTCATCTCAAAGCTTACTTTCCGGTCCAAGTTTGTGCTTAAACCCTCAATTCGGTACCAAACGACTCGAAACTAGCCAAATGTTATATAAAATAGTCAATGCATGTTCAAAAGTTCATATCCTAACTATTAAAGTGATTACCCAACCCCAATTGAAGAGTTCCTAAAATTCACCCCTGGGCCCATGTGCCCAGATTCTGGAAATTTTCGAAGAAAGTCGTTACCCATAATCTCAGGAACTCAAATATATGATTCTCACTAATTTCCATAATCATTTTCATGGCTAAATACCATTTTTACCAAAGCCCTAGGTTTTTCATCTAACTCATGATTTTCACTAATTTACATGTTATAATCTACCCATAAACTATGTATTTAACTCACATGCGGTAGAAATTACTTACCTCAATTGGTTGATGAAAATCCCTCTTTAACCAGCTCCAAAATCGCCCCCAATAAGTGTAAGAAATGAGCAAAAATGCCTAAGTCCCGTATTAAATAAAGTGTTCTGCCTTCTGTGATTTTCGCACCTGCGGTTCCGCTTCCGCGGACAAAATTACGTAGGTGCGGGCCAAGGCCAGGCTGCTTCCTCTCGCTTCTGCGCTCAGACGATCGCGCCAGCGGACTTGTCCGCTCCTGTGATGGCTACCTTCGCAGGTGCGGTCTCTGGTCCACTTCTGCGGTCACTGGCCACCCCTTTGCTGGTCCGCTTCTACGGCTCGTGGCTCGCACCTGCGACTGGCCAAGCGCAGGTGCGTTTACACCAGAAGCTGAAAGCTTCAGCATTTTCCTTAAGCCAAAACTTGATCCGAGCCTCGTCCGTTTAACACCCGGGGCCCCGCCTCAACATACCAACAAGTTTGAAATCATAAAACAGACTCGCTCGAACTCTCGGGACACACAAAACAACATCAAAACTAAGAATCACACCCAAAACCAATTGAATTAAAAATGTGAACTTCAAGTTCTTCAATTTACTCCTAATGCGCCGAAATATACTTAAACTATTTGGAATGACGCCAAATTTTACGTGCAAACCTTAAATGACATTACAGAACTATTCCTGATCTCGAAATCCCAATTGGACCTCGATAACACCAAAACCTACTCCAAACCAAATTTAAAGAACTTTAAAACCTTCAAAGAGCCAACTTTCATTATTAGACGCCGAAATGCTCTAAGGTCATCCAAAACCCGATACGAACATACGCACAAGTCCAAAATTATCATACGAACCTATTGGAACCGTCAAATCCTGATTCCAAGGTCGTTTACTCACAACATTGACCGAAATCAAACTTAGCCTTTTAAAGCTAAACCATTGAACCAAGTGTTCCGATTTCAACCCGAACTCTTCCAAATCCCGAACTAACCATCCCCGCAAGTCATAAAACAGTAAAAGCACATACGGAGAGTCTTATATAGGAGAACGGGGCTCTAGAAAGCAAGAAGGCCGATCGGATTGTTACAGATTGGGTATTGTTGAAAATAATTGGGAATATTGTTTGGAGTTTATATTTCTATTTTGAGGGTGTCTGGTGAAGATTAAACTTGATTTTGGCTAAATTTAAGATTGAAAGTCGAATAAGAAGAAGAACACATGACATACAATATACTTACGAAATTATATTAAAGTTGTATTATAATTATATATAAATTGTATTTCAGTTGTATTCTGTTGTAGTTACATTTTTTTTTATTTGAATGTTGTATAAAAGTTGAAAAAATAGTTGTATAATTTATGAATCGTTGTATGAAATTTGTATTTAAGTTATAAATACTATTATTTTACATAAAGTTGTTAATATTTATCAAAATTGTATTAAAAGAGGAAATTTTGATTGAAATTTCAGAGAGAAAGAAGAACACACTACATACAAAATATATAAACAAATCTTTTATAAAATACATACAGAAGACATATAGTATAAAATTTGTAAAAATATTGTATTTAAATTGTATGATGTTGTAGTTGTATTTAACTAGGTAAAAATAATTTATGAAAGTTATAGATAAGTTATAAATAAGTTGTATATTATATAATTAGTTGTATAAAATTTATTTTTAGTTTATATGTTGTCGTAGATGCATCAAATTTATATCAAATTTGTACGGAATTTATTTTTAATTTGCATGTTGTTGTACTCGACATTCTTTTTACTCAATTTGTTAAAGAAAGAAAAGTAGAGAATGAATTCCAAAATTGACTCATATGCATTGATTCATGTTTGTTTAAACTAAAAAACTTGAATATTATAGCAACAATAGTGACTGAAAATGGCAATCCATAGGTAACTGATTTGATTGCACATGCTAAATTAACTATTAGCGTCGACACTGATATCTTTCAGCTTCTTTGTTCTAGTCAGATATGTTATTCGATAGTTTATTATAGGTTTAAAGCGACAACTTGATTTTCGTACCTTTCTAGTCTTTCCCACTCTTATTGGGAGCAAGTCATCTTGTTTTTGGATGAGTTTGTCTCTGTTTAGCTTAAAATAGGTAATCCACAATTGGAAGGAATCTTATTGAAAGATAAGAGGAGAGAAAAAAGAAAAATAGTGTTACTTAATCCCCTAATTTAAGGTACCAATAGTGGATTGTATACAAATTGTAAGCAAGACTTATTTAGGGCAGGTAATTTCCAAAATTGGGACAATTTTGGTAATAAGGTTTTTGGAAAAGGGCTATATGTGTCTATGTACTATCAGAAATTAGTTATAGGTAGCCCCCGTTATACTATTCGACACTATCTACCCCGTCGTTAGCCTTTTTAACATATCTTCTTTTCACATTAACGGATCCAGTTCGTGCAGACACTTGGCAGTATTTTAAACACCCAAAACATTTTTCCTTTAATATACAAACCCACCCGATCCAGCCCCAATCATCTGATCCGAAACCTGTTTCGCATTATTTCTGATGAAGGTTCAACAATTTATTCTTCAACATACAGAGAATCAATAAAAAATTATACAGCTAAGCCGCTTATGTTGAAATCACACCCTCCATTTTCCGGATTCTTTTTTCGGACCAACAAAGACTAAACTTAAATTTTTTAAAACTCCTTAAAGAAACAAGAAACAAACAGGAGTGTTGATGCTTTGGTTGATTAGTTTTATGATGAAGTTTCTGGGTGGGGGCGGTGTAAATAAAGAAGAAAAAGAGTGGATTTTGACTACTTATTAGCCCCTTTTAGCTTTTGTTTTAGTCTAAGAGCATTGAATTGTGCTCCCAAAACTAATGAAATGTGCAAAATTATAGGAATGCTGGAAGTTGGATTCCCGAGATGAAATTCGACTCAAAAAGGAGTAATCTAAACACAAGGCAATAAAGGGCACAGAAGCATGCAATGTGCGGTCCGTAGAATTCCATCTACTGCCGCAACCAAAGAAGGAAAAGTTAGTAGGCATTCGTGCAAATTGCAGACCACACATGAATTGTGCGGCCGCAAAATATGGGCTTAAGATCAAGATCAGAGAGATGACAAAAAGACCAAGTCCATAGCTTCATTAAATTGCGGACTGCATAAGATTTGTGCGGCCGCAGAAGATCGTCTTGTAGCTGCAATCATACTATTGCGGACCGCAGAAGAGTGCTTTACGGTCGCAGTTCTAAATCTGCAGACCGTAGAATTGCCTCGCGGCTGCAGTTCAGAATTGTGCGGCCGCAGAATCCCAGCTCCTGCCAGATGAAGAAGTCTGCGGACCGCACATGGAATTGTGCGGCCGCAGAACCTCCCGAGTGGTATTTTTGTCCGAGATTTTCAGACTTGTATAAATAGAAGAGTTTCACGAAATTAGGTCAAGTTTTGACATCAGCAATTACTGTAGCCATTTTTCTTTGCCTCTTTTGAAAATTTACTATATTTTGGTATATTTTACAATAGATTTTATTATTTTAAGCTTACATTATGTGTTTAATTAGTCGTTCTTCTTTTTTTTCTTCAAACCCATGTATGAGTAGCTAGATTTTTACTCGGGTTGTGACCCAATCCTAGTATGTTAACCTTATGGGTAATTAAATTAGTGCTTGTTTATGATTGGGTATTTATTATTTAGCCCAGTTCATGCTTTAATTTGCGAAATTAATGGTTGCAAACATTAGTTCATGCCTATTTGACTTAGTCTCTACTTGAGAAAGAGAGATTTAGTCTAAGAAAACTTGGTTAACAAGGAATTGGGTCAATCGAAAGATTGATTAACCCAATTAAAGGATTCAACCTAGAGATAGTAATAACCCGACTTGAGATTTTATCAATTGTTTTGTGTGATACCCATTTGGCTTGAGAAAGCCAAATTGGGCAAAACCACTCTCTGACCGAGAGGTATTGAGTGGGTAATTGAGAGTTGATAGCTATAATACACCCCGATCAACAAAACAAGCATTAAGGTATTTATCCCATTAGGCAAACGCCTAGGCAATGGTCACATCCCTGTGCTTTTTATCAATTTGAAAAATCTCAAAAACAATTATCCTAGTCTTCTTTCTTTATTCTGCAATCTTTAGTGTAAAATTAGAAATAGAAAACAAACTTTTTTGTGGAAGTGCAAATCAAGATAATTCAATCACGCGCATTAAAATATATACCCCAAACTCCCATCTTAGCTACCTGTGGATTCAACCCCGACTCTTAGTTGGATTTTATTATTGGAAACGACCGTTTCATATCTCTATTGAGGTGTGCAATTGGAAGCGATCAATTGTATGCTCTGTTTCAGTAGTGATGTTATGGTTGTCGCTACATATTTGGTTCTTAAGTTGGTGGTTTTAGGCAGAGATGAGCGGTGATCAACTGAAGGAACTACAAGTAACTCAATTAAATATTGAAATAATCAAATCGACAAAACCAACTGATCCATGATTCACAAATCATCCGCACCTAAGAACCAAGATTCCTTCTTTAAACCACTCAATGGCACTAAGCTTCAAAAGTCAAACCTAGTAAACCTAATCCCAAAGAGGTAAGGTCAATGCAGTAGTAAAAGAAAATGGAAGAGAAAAAAGATTCAACAAAGGTTTTTTCTTTTTTTGTGAGGTTATTTCAATTCCCCGAAAATTGAGGAAGAAGAGATATATTTTTTATTTGTGAATTTCTACTGGTAAATGTTCAACAGAGAAATAGTGTAGGTGTAGCAGTCGTTGAAGAGGAAGAGAGAGTTAGTCAAAAGTGTCCGACTTTTCACAGTTCACTATTGTCTATTCGGGTAGGGGCTGAACGGGTTGGGTAACATGGTATATGGTTTGGTTGTTTAAAATCGTTCCACGTGTCCTTTGAAATGGTTCCATTAAATGTAGGGGCAAAAATATTAAAATGGATAATAGCATGGGTAGATAGTGTCGAATAGTATAACTGGGTCTACCTATAACTAATTTTTGATAGTACAAGGACACATCTAGCCCTTTTCCGTAAGGTTTTATAGGAAAGAAAAAATTCCCAAAACAAAAATAGCCACCTATTACAAATCTGCCCCCAATTTTCCCCACAGACACCGTAATTCTCTTCCCAATTGAACCAATTGTCTTTGCACCATAACTTAAATGATCATTGCCTCTAGAGCCCTCTTTCTCGTCAAGAAGTTACTCACAACATCAATCACTGTAATGACAACACCAAAGTCCCAAGCTTGGAGAAACCATTTAAAACAAACCCAATTAGTTCCCCACTTCTCAAGAACCTCAAACTTTCTTCCTCACAAATAACTCCATCTCTCTTCCTTCAAATCCTCCATAAAGCGCAAACCAACCCACAAATCTCTCTATACTTCTACATGAAGCCAAAGTTCTTTGTACACTTGTACATATACTTCTCGGATATGGACTATCCAAACCTACAAAACCCATATTCGATTCTCTCATTCAAACATACGCACCAACCCAAAATGTTGATTTCTTGATTCATTCATTCAAAGCTGCGAACTTTCACATTCAGGCTTCAGTCTTGAGCTCAGTTCTTGATTGTTATTGCAATAAAGGTTTGTTATTTGAAGGTCTTCAAGTTTACAGAAAAGTTAGAGAATATAGGTATTTTATATCTACTGATAGTTGCAATGCATTGCTCAATTTGCTGTATAGAAAGAATGAGCTAAGATTGGCTTGGTGTTATTATGGTTCTATAATTAAGAATTGTGTTCAGGAGAATGTGTTTACTTGGTCGTTAATTGCTCAGATGCTTTGTAAATATGGGAAATTTGAGCAAATTGTTTCTATTATAGATAAGGGTTTATGTACTCATGTTATGTACAATATACTTATAGACTGTTACTCCAAAAGAGGGGATTTTGAAGCTGCATTTATATATTTAAATAATATGTATAGGAAATCTGTTGATCCTACCTTTAGTACTTTTAGCTCAATTCTTGATGGTACTTACAAATATCAAAATGCCGAAGTGATTGTCTCATTGATGAGTTCCATGGTAGAGAAAGGACATTTTTCAAAAGTTATGTTGCCCAATTACAGTTCTATAATTCAGAAGCTCTCTGATTTGGGAAAAACATATGCAGCTGAATTATTTTTCAGGGAAGCTTCTGAAAAAAGATTGAACTGCAAGATAACACCTATGGCTCTATGCTGAGGGAACTTTCCAAGGAAGGTAGAGTTGACGATGCTATTTCGATGTACAACATTATAACTGACAGAAAAGTTATCATCAATGACAAATGCTATAGTGCCTTCATGAGTATCCTATGCAACGAAAATCCATCAGAAGAAGTCATCGGTTTGTTGAAAGACTTGATAGGAAGGGGATTCACTCCTCCTATATCTCAAGTGTCTAAATTTATTTTTTCTCAGTGTGAAATGCGTAAGTGGAAAGAAGCTGAGGAGCTTCTGAATGTTATTCTTCAGAGGGGACTTCAGCTTAAATCTTTTTGTTGTAGCTCATTGGTGCGTCACTATTGCTTTAGCAGAAGGATTGATTCTGCCATTTTTTTACATACTGTACTAGAGAGACTTGGTGTTGCATTAGATGTAAAGACCTACACTATACTACTCGATAGGCTATTTAAATCAAGACGGTGTGAAGAAGCTCTAAGGATCTTCGATTATATGAGAACTGTTACGCGGAGCCTTCCTGAAGTTCCTTGGAAGGGCGATGTAAGGCTAAGCAACCGATGTCAGTGCGATTGTTGTCCGCCAACTGAGGTCCCTTCCGTACGCTAGACTAGATTGTCAGTGCCGTACAGGAAAACCAATGTCATGATCAATTGAAAGAGAGAGCAGAAAAGAGAATTGAGAATGAAAGAAAGCTTGATTGTATTGA